AACACGTTAAGATTTTCCTTTCAATGAATATTTGTGGCTGCTCACCTTGGTAGCTGTTTGCAATGATTATTGGGCGTCCTGTTGCATTAGGTTCTCCAATATATTCGGGCCGACACTCGACTTTTTACACTTCTAAACAACTTTTTCTTGATTACCGAGCATCAGTCAACAGCATGCTCATCTTATGTATGTACTACTTTCTTCCAATGTACAGGAATGCACTCAATTCCACACTAAAAGAAGGAGCTCCACCGTGGGTCGAGAAATCATATAGAAATCATATTAGGTCGCTTATCAGGTCAGCGAGGTTGTTGAAGCTACGTCGCTGAAGGTAGTATTTTGTAGGTGAAATGTCCAGTCTACATAATGAGGAGGAAAAACCTGAACTCTCACAAAATGGAGTTGAAGACGAGTGAATTTCCCATATGAGCTGCGATTTGTCGTGCAGCAAGGTGTCGTGCAACGCTCTCTCTACCGTAGACTTCGAAATTCCCGCTATGTCTCTCAAGTCCGCTGAAGAATCCTCTGCGGTAGGAATAGCCAAGTGGGCAGCAACTCCTTGAGTGAGCGTAGGCCCTTTCTTACGGTACGCTTTGGCGTGCTTTCTGCATTAACCCACTGTTCATCACTCGTATAGTTGCCGTAGCACACCAGCTCTCATCCCAATGACATTAGTCAAGCAATCGGCATGTCGAAATCATGCGCTGAGGTAGCATCGCCGAAGCTGCCCAATTTCGGAAAAATTTTCAGCTTGCATGATTGGCAACAGCTGCTTCAGAATCACAAGGTTAAGCTACCGTTCCCGGCGCTACGTGACCAGGGCACAGCATTGGTTGGGGATTTTGGTCGAGCCCGTACGAAACCCCTTTTTTGGGAGTTGGTACGACCCCCCCCCCCCCCCAGCCCTCTGTCCTTCCTCATCGAATCGAGCCGTCGAGCGGGGGCATATAGTACTTTTTACCAAAAATTTTGCTGTCGAGCGGGGGGGGCATATAGTACGTGAAACAGGAAAATCACCAAAAGTCAACCGCCACTCCCACAACGCCAAAACGTAAATACGACCCCCCCCCTCCCAAAAATGATCAAATACGACCCCCCTCCCTTTACAACGTCCATGAAGCGAGAAAAATCAACTATCAAAATAAATTTTTCTCAGCCCAAATACGACCCCCTATTGGGGATTCCCCAACAACGATGTGCCCTGTACGTGACGGAAAATCTCTCCATTAATTTGTCAAGGCTACTTGATCGATCACCGATCACAATGGTCAGGGTTGCCTTTTGCCTTAGTGAATCAGGCCAAACTACTGTGAACCGCGAGTCGTCCGTGAATTATGGTAGGGCTTGGGTATCGGTGGGTACCAACGTATTTCATTCTTCAGAGGTGGACACAGGCGCAAAGAGCTTCGAAACTTCCTTGTCGAAGTCGAAAGCGGGCTTCGAAATTATGGTCAAATCCATTACTCTGTTCCGGCATCCGCAACGTATTTGAGTAAGAACATCCTCTTATCGGCTCAGAGGGCACAACGAATTTGATGGCGCTGCCACTCTCTCCCTCTGATGCCCTCAACCAAAGTGGCAAGCTGTTGGAGCCAAGCGACACTGATGCTGCGACGTTTATCATGAAATTGCCATCGATAGAAAGACGCTCGCATGCACGAGCATAGTGACGGGTTTTGTGACGTGCTACAGACGGTTACAAAAAGGTTCCAAAAGGGCTCACAAACCAGCTGTTGCTTATGGGACGGATCGCAATTACCCGAACCTAGGCAACAAGTACGCAGAGTCGTTCCCTCTGCAGAGTTGACTCCTCCAGGGCACCCCATTGTTGCGGGTTCCCCAATGCGGGGGGGGGGTCTTGTTTGAGCGTTAAGGTGGAGGATTCGTAATGAGAGGGCAGTCAACCCCAAAGAGCGCAATGGTGTCAGCAGAACTACAAAACATTAAATTGACCAATTAACTGTATTAATAAGTTGAGATTCGTAAGCTGGTAAGCACGTAGATCACTAAACACTACAACTCAAACAAATCCACGGGTAGACCATGGAACTTCCTGAAATCAAAGTGCACATTTGCTCACGTGGGAGTTGCACCATCCCATAACCTCTACGAGGGAGCCTATTGCATGGCGCATCTAGAGATGGAGCTGATGGGTGAGCGTTAAAAACGACGCGCAATAGAAATGTTACACGAGAACGGGTTTTTCGCGCTGCTCGGCGTTTTCCCAATGAATCCCCCGCATTCACCTCAATGGTCGGAAAATTCAAAAACAGCTGTGCAGGTCTTGGTAAGACGGAATCTTCTTCTTCTTCAAAAGTGCTCTTATTTTGCAAACAGTTGCGTCGGAAGAAATTCACAGTGGTTCAGGGCAGGGAAACTCGCTTCAAAAATCTCTAACGAGTCCCCAACGGTGCATGTTCCTCGTATCATGCAGCATTTATGTACATTTCAGTAATCATCAGAGAGCATAAATGCAGCACTTTCTGTGTTCTTCCTTTCCCCAACGGTCTACTTGAGAAAGTCATCGCTCTTCAAACCGAAGTGTGTCACTTAGGGAAGTACGCCCAGTATCGCGGGACGGTATATTGCAAATGATGATTCTTTCAATAAAATGATAAACTTGGCAGACAACCCGAATAAGCAAGTATTTGTACATTTTGTAGTGAAATCATATATAGGTTGGAAGGAAAGTCTTGTCACTGTTGTGACTTTTTTTTTTTATTTTCTAACTCAACATACAGTGGGAATTAGTCAACAATATACTCGTCATAGTTAGCCACTACAGTGCTCCACCCAATGGACAGGTAAGCATTCCCCTCCTCCCAGAACTGAGAAGGCTGCGAGTAGAGTAAGTCAGCGCCCTCTCGACTGATGTCATCAAAGTTGCTTGAAATTTTCTTAGCTAAGAAAGCCTTAAGGAGGCGGAGCAGGTAGCAGTCGTAGGGGACTACGTCAGGAGAATATCATGAGCGGGGACTGGTCTCCCAGCCTTGCTCCTCAATTATTTGGTAGGTCTTCATAGCAGGTATGGGGTCTCGTGTACTACGAACGAGGTGACCCGAAGCTAGTCTCGGTCATGTTTTACCAACAATTTCCACCGGTTTCAGGAGCTGAGCGACACAAATGGTAGCGATGACCGTCTGTTCTTAGAGGGCAGCTCGTTCTGCAGTATCACGCCCGCGTCCCAGGAGCAGCACAGGAGAACCTTCTCGGAATACATGCCCGGTTTGGACTGCTAGAATGGATCTTCTCTTGAGAGAGACAAACGGTACTGTGTGGGTTGAAATCATAGAGGACCCATCTCTCATCCCCACTAAGCAGTCTCCGGAAACTGACCAAGGGGTACCCGGGTGCACAGCGTGCCATCGGTCAAGGTATGAGTGATCCATCGAGCCAGTACTTTTCGGTAGTCAAGGGCTTACAGGCGGTTGACGACTGTCAGTTAGGTACATCCGAGTCTTGTCGCAAGACTGCGGGTGGTAGCCTCCGGACCCTCCTTGACAGCTTCGAGAACGGTGAAACCTTTCACTTCGTTGAGGCGTCCCGACCGAGGTTTGTCTTCAAGGATCGAGTCTCTTTTCGCGAAGCGAGCGAACTAAAAGTGAACGGTTTCTACGGTAGTAGTGTCCTCCCGCAATACACTGATGATGTTACGGACAGCTGCCGTGGCTGCAGTTTCACAGGAGTATCTTCGGGCATCATCTTCCACCAGTGCCGCGGGGCCACTGGTGGAAGATGATGCCCGAAGATACTCCTGTGAAACTGACATCGTAATTGAACCCAGGAAAGCGCAGGCGCCCTCGCACCTCTTGCAGGGAAGCTCTTAGAATGTTCTACAAGCATAGCATGTTACGTCATGTACGAGCATCGAGAATCAAAAACTGGAAGCTTTTCAAAAAACACTGACAGGACTTTCCTTCCAAACCTACGAGTAGGAGAGCATTTATATATTTTGCATAGTAACTTTGCGACGAAATGGAGCCCGGCGTCGAAAAAATCGAACTCGTGAGGAAGGTTCATGCCCCGGGGATCCTGTCTAGGAATTTCAAGAGCTCTCTCGGAATCAAAACTCACCATCCAGTTTGACGCAAGTGGCTTATCAAAGAAAACTTGGTACGGGCACATAGTCATAGTAATAAATATTGCCCTGTAGTTTTGTTTCTGTGTAACGAACTGCGTAACTTCTTCCTCCTTACTTCATTGTAAAGAAAAGTTCTTGCGGGAAAAGAACCGAGAAACCGAGAAAGGTTAGTTCGAAAGTAAATTTGTTCATATTCAAATCAATCAAGAAAACCTGAGTGGTCGCATATCACGAAATTTCAGTGGCTGTAGCTTGAATATAGTTAATAAAGAATTGGATTCTGTTCATTTTCGAGGGGTTTTTAAGGAAATCGAATTCTTGGCGAAGTTTGTCAACCACTACAAAAAAGCAAGAGTCGGAGTTGTAGCAATGGACTGCCCTTCAAAAACCATTGTTCAAATGGGAACGTACAGCGAAAAAGAAATACGGTAATAGTTTTGTTCATGTTTGTGTAGTGTATTTTTGACGTGCTTGGTCAACTAGAGCAAAATTAAGTGCTGTGCACTTACAAAACTCTGCGAAATGTAGCTGGTCCAACCTACCTAGTTGTACATAATGTGAAATTTTTATTTCAGTAGCAAAATCACCACACCAACGAATCCTGTATATCCGAAAGGAATGGCTCAAGCTTTCGAGTTGGCCAAGGCGCTCTTATCTGTGAGTATCTTAACAAGACTGTAGATGCATTGCCCACAAATGCACGGCAACAACCACTATGGAAACGACATCCACCACGGAAACGAAAGGTTTGAAAGGGTTCCAATGCCATTTCGAGAAGCTCACCCGAAGCTCACATTTTCGACGTCTATTTGCACCCTCAAACATACCAGTGACTTAGTGTCATCAGCAGTTACACCCAACAAACTCCGTTCGCCAGCTCCTTTCTTTCATAGTGAATTCCTCAGAAGTCTGCTCCATTTAATTTGACCGTTGTGTTTATGTGAGAAAGGGTCATGAATGAAATAGTCCGGAGTGCAATATGACATACAGTGTCTTGTTATCTCCGGAAAGGCACACTGTGGAGTTGTGAGGACAAGTGGAAAAGAGAATAACATCTTGCTTCGTTGACGTTCAAATGTGCTTCACAGCGAGATTCACCAACCCTGAAATATATTCACTCTGAACTCTCGACCCCTCCCCCTCCTTCTTCTGAAATGGCTGCGAGCGACCTCTCTTCATATCCAATCATATCATACGTTTTCATTAGGCTCTCTCCTAGTAGGGGAAGATATAAGATAAGCAAGCATTAGCAAGTTGGATCACATTTCCATTCTGAGTTGGGCTCAGATCAGCAAGCTTTTCCCGTTGGTGTGGGAGTAGATGCGAGTGATGTGATGGCAAAGTTAGGCGAGTGGAGAGTAGAGTGCGGTGCTGTTGGTGCGCAAGACTACAAGCACTGAATTTCTTGACGCCTTTTTAGGCATCGAGAGCCTATCTTTGATACTGAAGGTCGACACACGATTGCCTACCGGCTTCTGAAGAAAATCTGCACTCACCGTGTAATTTCAGCAAGTGCTTGGTAATCATGTGTAGCGAGCTTCATAGAGACGATGTAAAACCCCTGTGGAGGTCCCTCCGGAACTTTCTTCACATTTTGCGGGGTCGAATAGATAGATGTTCTACTAGGCCAGTGGTGGACCTATGGTTTATCACATAAGAACGTTCTTAACGTATGATCGATGAAATGATTAGAGAGCTATACGCAATATGTAATATCCGTAAGTACATAATCCTACCATATATCGGAAGTTTGCAATGCATTTAGACTGAGACTAGAAAGGAGAAACTTCTTGTACTTGTTTCGACTGGCGAAGAACAACCCAAGTGCACTAAGGAAGCACCATCTAAAGATCGATTCGAACTTGCCGATGAGGTAAGACTTCTTGTATGTGTTATCGGTCGTCTTGAGGCACCTGATGCACTCGTGCAGTGATGTATATCTGTAGCATTTTTTCAGAGTGGTTGTCATTCATGAAGAACATGTACATGAAGTAGGCAAATGTTGACCGCGAGCTATTTCCACGCGCAACTGACGAGATGGATAAAGCTTCAATCCAAACATTGAAAGCAATAGACGGTTCACGTATGATCAAAACACTTTCCTTGTGCAAGGTAGTTGCGTCCCGGAAGCACCCCCCCCGCAAGACTCCCCGGAAGCCCTTAAAGTACGTTGTAGAGATGCTAGGCGCTCGTGACGAAGGCGATCCTCTCCAAAAAACCACAATGCTATGCCCTGTACCCACTTCTTCGAACTCCTGAGTAGCGCGGCTGTAACGCATCTCGCTCGCTCTATTTCGGATATTGAAAGCGAATGAACAGGAGAAAAAAAGCTGGTTTCAACAGGAAGTTTTCTAGTAGATATTCTTCGGAAGACACTTTGTACCTTAAACTTATCTTACTGTAGAAGCAGAAGCTTACTAGGGATGGTCGTCAGGTCGAAGTGGCCGTTTGTAATGAGACCTAGACCACTAGACGTATTTTCAGACGCTGATTTCAAATCTGCATTCCAAATTTGCAAAGCGATTCTGTGAACGGAGTTATGACGGGTCGTTTGGCTGAAGCGGCGCGGGGTCGGCGGCAGTTGCCAGCCAGCGGGCATGAGTAACCGGGATGCAGCGCCTCATCCAACGGCGGCGGTGGCACAGAGGTAAGAGTCTAGGTTCATGGGCACACGATGAAGGTTCGGATCCCGAGAGTGTGGTTTGTTTTGCATTCCGTGGAGGACGTCCTACGACTATGATAAGCACTTCAAGCGTTGATGTGACCACATTTTTCAACTGGGGCTGGGCGATCAGTGTGATATACATCTTATAGTTATGGGAATTACATTCTTCAAATCATACACGATAATAATGCTATGCAAAAAAATGACTCCTTCACCTCATGAGCAAATATGATACCCTAATACAAGTGGTCAAAACAGAGAAGTTGCTCACAATGAGAACAACGAATAAAAAGCCTCTAGACATTGATCCGGAACAATTTGATCTATTCCCATAAGATGTAGATCACACTGATCACCCAGCCCCAGTTGAAAAATGTGGTCACATCAACGCTTGAAGTGCTTATCATAGTCGTAGGACGTCCTCCACGGAATGCAAAACAAACCACACTCTCGGGATCCGAACCTTCATCGTGTGCCCATGAACCTAGACTCTTACCTCTGTGCCACCGCCGCCGTTGGATGAGGCGCTGCATCCCGGTTACTCATGCCCGCTGGCTGGCAACTGCCGCCGACCCCGCGCCGCTTCAGCCAAACGACCCGTCATAACTCCGTTCACAGAATCGCTTTGCAAATTTGGAATGCAGATTTGAAATCAGCGTCTGAAAATACGTCTAGTGGTCTAGGTCTCATTACAAACGGCCACTTCGACCTGACGACCATCCCTAGTTAGTAGGGTCCAGTCTTGGGCATTATCAACTGTTTTTGTCTGCTTTTCTCTTCATTAATAAATAATTACCTGCCCCTCTTCCATGAACCCCATAACTCACTCTCGCAGGACGTGCCTCTAACAAGGGAGGTCGTTCAGGGCGTGGTGAGCTTTTTCAAAATGGTCTTGTGCATATTGTAGGGGCACATACGAGGACCAGAAAACTGAGGTTCATTTTCGCTGCGCGCTTCTACGAATAAAAAAACGTAAAAAATAGGTCGATGGTTCGGATCCCACCGAGGACAAAATTTTGCTTTTCTACAATTTTTCATTTTTTGGATCCATGTTTGTCTAAATAATTGGTCCTAACAAAAACATTCACGATAAACTGAACAATCCTACTTTTATGGAGCAAAACTGCTTTTTCGTTCGAATTCGTTAGTATGCACAGACTCAGCTCTTCGGCGCTATGCCGGTGCCAGATGGCACTGGAACCGAAAATAAAGTCTAGAATCGTGATCAGGACTGTCGATTACCCCTAGGAGCAAGTTTTGAGCGAAAAAATTTTTTTGACTTTTTCGGGTTGTAGGTGGCCGACCATTTGGTCGGCAGTGTGAGCGGAGTCTCACATCTTCGTAACAGCGATGCGTATCGTTGACGCTACGGACCCGGACAACCCAATAAGCAAACCCAAGAAGGTCAAAACAATTGTTTTGACCGAAAATTCGTTTTTAGTGGTAATCAGTGGCCCTGATCACAAATATAACACCTATTCTTGGCGTCCACGCAATTTGGCGACAGAATAGCGCTGAACGTTCCCTATATTGGTGTACATAACGAATTCAGTGGAAAGAAGATGTGGCCCCAAATTGTCTATAATTGACACCACACCAGAAGTTACTAAATTCGCAATCAGATCCACTGTATAGCCTCAACGTCCAGCAACAATCTTGTTCAATGGTGCGTGAAAATCGAAATAGTTGAATAGCACTGACTCATGAGGTACAGCTACTCAGAATGTGCCCATAAATGGCAAATATCCGAGTTATATTCATGCGCAGACACTAATGGAAGCGAGAACAGCGAAATCTAAAAAATGCAAAAAGCCGCGACGCAAGGGGAGCCGAACCATCAACCCCACCCTCACTGTCCGATTGCGAAACCTCCACTCTATCCGCTAGGCCATCCGATGCTCGACTATGCTAGCGCTCTTATCGTTGATGAAACCATTGCAAGAAGCCGTTCACCCTTGAGCACATGACCCAAGTTGGAAGCTCACTTACGGCGATTTTTCGCTTCGATTCAAATAGCCCCTTTATAAGGACCCCCACTCAGCAACTGGTCAAAGTTGCAAGTGACCTACGCCGCATAGAGGCCCAGAACGAAGCAGATTCCACAGATTTCTTTT